AAAAAAAAAAAGATTCTTCTCTGTCTTGTGATGTGAGAGAATTTCTGTAGCACATTATATTTAGTACGAGAAACAAAATTTAGAAATCAAGGACCTAGATTGACATGATACTCTTTCCCTCCCTCATAAACCAACATATCTGCCAATTCCCACCTCTCAAAAATTACTAGTCCAAGACAGTCCCCTTAGTTCCACTTACATACCTTTCTAGCAAGGTAAGCTGAGATAACAGACCAGTTAAAAATTTTTTTAAATATATATTTTTACTATATTTTTTATAGAGACAAGGTCTCACTATGTTGTCCAGCCTGGTTTTGAACTCCTGAGCTCAAGCAATCCTCCTGCCTTGGTCTCCCAAGGTGCTAGGATTACAGGTGTGAACCACCATGCCCAGCCCAAGGACCAGTTTTAGATATACACCAGACTTTATTTTTTATTGTTTATTATTTTTTGAGCTGGACATCTGTGCACTCTTGCCATTTTTCCAACATTCCTAATTGGGCAATTCCATGATTCAAATCTACTAAAAAGAACTCTGAGGGGTCTTCACGGGGTAGATGCACAGCAGTTGCTTCTATCTCCACCTTCTTTATCTGCTAATTTGAGGTCTCCATTCCCAACGAATATCTCCAGCAGCAGAAAGTCTCCGAAGTGCATGATTTGATTGGCGAGTCCCACTTTCTTCCATCCCCACTGCCAGCTCTCTCATGCCTTCTAATTAACATCTATAGAGATACTAAACTTTTCTATTCAAGGTGTAAGGACAGCAACTTTCCACTAAGACCATCAGGTTGGGGGAGGTGCTGGAAAGAAAGCTAGATATTAGGCTTTAAAGGCCCGTCCCACACTGGCTTTCCTTAAAGAAACACATAAAAGCTTTATAATATATATCAGTAGCAGGTAGAATTTTTTTTTTTTTTGAGACAGAATCTCACTATATTGCCCAGGCTGGAGTGCAGTGGCATGATCTCGGCACACAGCAAGCTCTGCCTCCTTGGTTCACACCATTCTTCTGCCTCAGCCTCCTAAGTAGCTGGGACTACAGGCGCCCACCACCACGCCTGGCTAATTTTTTTGTATTTTTAGTAGAGACAGGGTTTCACCGTGTTAGCCAGGATAGTCTTGATCTCCTGACCTCATGATCCGCCTGCCTTGGCCTCCCAAAGTGCTGGGATTATAGGCGTGAGCCACCACACCCAGCCAGTAGCAGGTAGAATTTTTTAAGAGAGAGGCTACTGAGTCTCTGGAGTAGAAACAAAATGCTAGGTGTCTTTTGTTTCTATGTGTCTATGGAGTAGAAACAAAATGCCATTGCCTTTTAGGATAAGTGAGCTGGCAAGGCCAGGAGTGGTGGTATGCATCTGTAATCCCAGCTACTGAGACAGAAGGATCACTTGAGCCCAGGAGTTCAAGACTAGCCTGGACAACATAACGAGACCCTGTCTCAAAGCCAAATCTATACTGTCCCTGGAAGCCTACCCACACGCACTCCAACTTACGGCTGACACAGCTTGACAAGATCTTGGTCAGTAGTGCCTGGCTGCAATCCTCGGATGTATAGGTTGGTTTTGCTCAGCTGGTCATTTCCATTGCTTCCACTACTGCTGTTAGGTGTACTGTTGCTTGGGCTAGGTGGTGCCATCTGCTGAGCCAATGACACATATGGCTGCAGGGAGACATGAGGAAAAGGTAGAAGGATTATACATTTACATGTTGGAGAGTGAGGAAGATCCTGGCCCTCTTGAAAAAATGATTCCAAACTATATATAATCACAAATGTGCACTCACTTGGACACACATAGTTTGTTCCTTAGCTCCATATTTTAGCAGAGAAGAAGAAATCCAATACCACATTCTGAGATAGCCCAAAGACTTAAAATCCTGTTGTAGCTTTTAATACATCCTTTATATTTCCTATTCCTTTCTCCCTCTTTTTGCCAGCACTTACATTAGGATTTCCCAGATAACACTCTGTAGGCTGGGCGTGGTGGCTCACACCTGTAATCCCAGCACTTTGGGAGGCCAAGGCGGGTGGATCACAAAGTCAGGAGATCAAGACCATCCTGGCTAACATGGTGAAACCCCATCTCTACTAAAAATACAAAAAAATTAGCCAGGCATGGTGGTGGACCCCTGTATTCCCAGCTACTCAGGAGGCTGAGGCAGGAGAATGGCGTGAACCCGGGAGGTAGAATTTGCAGTGAGCTGAGATCGCGCCACTGTACTCCAGCCTGGGCAACACAGCGTTTGAAAAAAAAAGAAAGAAGTGCAGACTGGGCGCAGTGGTTCACGCCTGTAATCCCAGCACTTTGGGAGGCCAAGGCACGTGGACCACGAGGTCAGGACTTCGAGACCAGCTGACCAATGTGGTGAAACGCTGTCTCTACTAAAAATGCAAAAAAAAAGAAAAAAAAAAAAATTAGCCAGGTGTAGTGGCACTCACCTGTAATCCCAGCTACTCAGGAGGCTGAGGCAGGAGAATCCCTTGAACCTGGGAGGCAGAGGTTGCAGTGAGCCGAGATCACGCCACTGCACTCCAGCCTGGGTGACAGGGCAAGACTCCGTTCCCCCGCCCTCCAAAAAAAATGCAACTCAAAACCACAGTGGGATACTGTCTCACAACAGTCAGAATGGCTAGCATTAAAAAACTAACAGATGCTGGTGAGGTTATGAGGTTATGGAAAAAAGGGAACACTTATACACTGTTGGTGGGAGTGCGAATTAGTTCAATCATTGTGGAACACAATGTAGTGATTCCTCAAAGACCTAAAAACAGAAATATAATTTAGCCCAGCAATCCCATTGCAGAGTATATACCCAAAGGAATAGAAATCATTCTATCATAAAGACACAAGCATGTGTATGTTCGCTGCAGCACTATTCACAATAGCAAAGACATGAAATCAACCAAAGTGTCCATCAATGGTAGACTGAATACAGAAAAGGTTATACATATACACATGTAATACTATGTAGCCATAAAAAGGAATGAGATGCTGTCCTTTGCAGGAACATGGTTGGAGCTGGAGGCCATTATCCTTAGCAAACTCACGCAGGAACAGAAAACCAAATACTGCATGTTCTCACTTATAAGTGGGAACTAAATGATGAGAACACATATTTACATTAAGGGGAACAATACACACTGGGGTCTGTCCGAGGGCGGAGGGTGAGAGGAGGGAGAGGAACAGGACAAATAACTAATAGGTTACTAGGCTTAATAACTGGGTGACAAAATAATTTGTAAAACAAAACCCCATAACACAAGATTACCTATATAACAAACCTGCACATGTACCCATGAACTTAAAATAAAAGTTAAATAAATTTAAAAAAGAATCACTTTGAAATTTCCATTTAAGGCCGGGCGCGGTGGCTCAAGCCTGTAATCCCAGCACTTTGGGAGGCCGAGACGGGCGGATCACGAGGTTAGGAGATCGAGACCATCCTGGCTAACCCGGTGAAACCTCATCTCTACTAAAAAAATACAAAAAAAACTAGCCGGGT